CTCTCAACAAACCGATATATATGGCAATATTTTTAATACTTCGAGACACACGCTACGATATTTGAAAATACGACCTTCCACTAACGAGAAAACATATGGACATGCACCTCTCCGTTTCCAATGATTTATGTCTCAATCGATGAGGTATATCGAGGTAGTAAGAAGCGTAAAAGGATTCGGACGACGAATCTTTGTTCAGATGTGGTCATTTTTCTGTTTTTCCCAGCGAAAACAGGCAAAAATGGAAAAATTCGTATTGCTGTTAAGCGAAGGAGTATATATCTGAAACTTATATGCGTGATTTTTCACCTAGTGACTGTTGAATAGGTCTACTATATACAGTGAAAGTTTCAACTTTCTAGGTCGTTTCATGCGTGAGTTATTGAATCGCTAAGTTTTCTATACTTTCGCTCTGGAAGACTGTCCAGTAAAATGACCGTAAAATCATTAATTTTCGTCCAAAACAACTCAAATTTCCATCAACAATACAGTTTTGAGTGCTGAGCTGGATACAGCAATGGAAGTTTATGAATTTTCATGTTTTCTCAACCTGGTTTTTGAGGAGATATCTGGAAACCCTAGAATTTCTGGACGTGCTAAAAGTGGTGAATTGACTAAAACAGCATATTTGCCACGCACAACTATGTCACTTCCGAAAAATTTGAATCCTTTTGCATGAAAACTGAGATTTTTATAAGCATTTTATTGCACATCAGTTAAAGGGCTATTACAGTGAAAACTTGACAACTCAATAACTCAGTTGTTGTATATATTTATTGATTCTAATATAAAGGTCTGTGGTCAGAGAACATTACGGACCTAACAATAATAAAGATGTTGTCAGTAGGTGGTCACATAAGGTAAATTATGACATAAGAAAACAAAAAGACTAACAAAATAAAATAAAACAACTAAGAAGACAGGCTGGGCGGCAAAGGGAGGATGGACATCATAGAAATTGAAAATTACTATGCCAGCAGTTATTCAAATCTGTTCGTTTGTTGAATATACAAGAGGACTGTATCCAGTAAACATGTTAAAGCATCATGATGATGAAATCTATGCCATTCAATAACAATGTGTCAACTGAGAAAACTCAATCTAGGAACCGAACTAGAAAGGTGAAACTTTCATTGTATATAGTACACCTACTGAAGAGTCACGCATATAAATCTCAGATATATACGCCTCTGTTTGACAGCGATACGAATTTTTCCATTTTAGCCTATTTTCGCTGAGAAAAATAGAAAAATGACCATAACATCTCAGCAAAGAGCCATTGGTCAGACTCCTTGTCGGAAAAGGACTTTCAGTCAAGGGTCAGTGAATCGAAGATGAACGTTACTTGTATTTATATAATGCCATTACCAAGTTGGGAAGCTCGGCGGCATCGCCGTGCGCTTCTCCTTCGCCGTAATCAAGTAACAACAGTTGATCTAAGATATGGTATGTAAACGCAGGAATCAAGATTAGTGATACCATGGCCTTTAATTAATGTTTTAAACACTGGTGCTTCAGCTATATGTTTCACGCAAGAATTTCACAAAACGTTTGCTTTGTACTTGTCATATCAGCGGCTTCAACGTGTTAATACGTATTAAAGTTTTCTATACATGGAATTTTGTTCTAGGATTCGTTTTGAGGATAAGCCTTTCTCTTTAAACCGATCTTTTTGTGCCATTTCTAGGTTTAATCGGTCGAGCTTGTTTCACGAAAAAGCTTAATCATCAAGTGGCTGAAGCCTTTCATTTCGTCATAGTCGAATGTGTTATCACATAAGGCCGTTTTCCGAAGAGATGTTGTAGTCGAACTTCACGTTAGAATGGCCTAAAGTTAACGTATTGATTTAACTACGAGTTTTTTATACTGAGTTGGTTGAATATAATTAGGTCTAGAGCTTAGTTGAAGACTTCATTGGATTATGTCTCAAATAATATAAGGACAAACTGGAACCTTATATAATTACTCTCGTGTTTAGCTTATATTGAAACGTATGCAGTCTGAAAAATGTGGAGCTATGAGTATGTGTGTTTATTTTTGAACTTGTCCTATCGTAGCCACTAATGTACATCATAACGATATACATTCATATGATGATAACGAATTAATGGATACGAATGTTAATTATGGTGATGATAATGACATGGATTTTACAGGTAATGCTGTTATTATTATTGTTTCCTGCTCTACAATTCATGTTTCTAGTAATAAGAAGTCTTTTTTGAAGTTTTTCTTAAAATGATTAGTATTTAGATATAGAAATGACAGTGGAAGGTGCACTTCTACCAAGTGATGTTAATGAATATAATACCGAAGAATTGTCTCATGGTACGACACAACTGAATGTTTTGAGCTTTCCCCACTTTTTCTAGTGCCTTATTTGTCTCTCTTTTTTTTCTTTGCTTCTAGAGAACTATCGACGAAATACACCATCAGTACAAGATTGGGCTGCAGCATTAATGATATTTAAAACTCGTCGTTCTCAAAATAACAAAGATATGGATTATATGTATCGACTACTTCGAATAAATCCTAGTAGCTATTGTGTTAATGTTTCTAAATCATGGGCATCTATCAGGTGAGTGTCTTTTTTTACAGTTTTAATTAATAGGAAAATCTGTATGTATGTTTGAAAATCTTGCCCTTTTTTCTCCAAATAGACGTTGTTTAACTAATGATGATTCCCTATCGTTATATCAAAATTATTATTATTGTCCTGTTTGTATTACATTATCATCAACAGAATCATGTGCTTGTGGTGTAGAAACAACAGCAACAGTTTCTTATTCATCAATTATAAAACAAATACAACAAATATTATCAATCAAGGGAACGTATACCAGGATGTGTGAAATGCGTGATCGTATTCTACAAATGTATTCATATACAGACTATGTTCGTATCTTACAATTATGTCCAGAATCATCATTTACATTAACTGTTAATTCAGATGGTATTGAATTGAACAAAGGTGCTGTTACAATTAAATCTTAAAATATTGTACATTCATGTATGTACTTTACACGTTAAATATGTTATTCTTTTTCTAGGAATTGAAGTGTGGCCGTTTATGCTCGCATTCAATGAACTTCCATTATCGGAACGTTTTTCATTAAGAAATATTGTATTACCATTGATATGGCCAACTGGTACATTGCCTAAATATAAACAAATTCAAGTATCAATAAAATTAATGGTTGATGAATTATTAAAAATTAGAAAATGGTTATGATTTTTTTATACCAGAACTTGATTCACCAAAAACATTATATTTTTTCACAATAGCATCGTGTAGTGATAAACCAGCACAATCGAAAATGAAAAATGTAAATATGTTTATGGCTGAATACGGTTGTGGTTTATGTTATACAAGTGGTGCGTTGTACGATTTCTATACAAAAACAATAAGACGATCAAGTAATTACACGTGTTAGCAAAACTTTCTGTCGCAAAATTTCAATTCACATTTTCGACATGTCTGACTGGTAATGCTATGGGATAATTTTATTCACTATAATCACGCTATAAGACTATGTCTCGGCCTCAGTTTAGAGTTTCATACTGTCTGTTCCTTGATCACAGCAGAGTTGAGGTAACAAACAGTAAAAATGATGCAGAAGGTCATCACTAACAATGACGATATACATTAGACTATTTGCGGCTGACTTTTAGAAGTGCAACGATATAACATAAACTTACGTGGACAGCAGATGCTGTGAGTCACTTTTAATTAACATATGCTATATACTACTATTGTTTATCGAAGGTATTGTT